TTTCCTGCCAAAATGACTAAAAGGTTGGAGACACTCACAGATCAGGCAACAGAACGGATGTGGGAAATGATTCAGATCCGTTGTTAGGAGCACCTTGTATCTTGAGAATCGAAGTAATAATGTTGTATATCTGAATATTTTCAAAAGATGGCACCTTCCTTCCCCTCGCAAACTGAGGGCCGTGGCCAATAAAGATAGTCCTCATAGAGAAAACTGCATTATCATATCCATGTGCACCTCCACACTCTTTTTTTGTTGTCCTCTTCTGCTCGACCTTAAAACCCTCTTCTACCAACCCTATAATCGGTGGAATTCGATTACTTGCTGCATAATGTAGCCTGCTAGGCAGTTCCTCTTTAAGATAAATTCTCAAATTCTTCCCGTTCTCAACTTTCCCAGACTGTAATCCTCCATTCATTTTGGCAACAATATCAGATGAACTATAACCAGAAGGAGGGTGAATACCAAGCAATGGAGTATAACATTGAATCCACTGTGCAGGAATTTCAACCCAAGAAGCCAAATCATCTAAGAAAATAAGCTTTTTATCACACGTACCAACCATGCCATGATCACCAACCAAAATAATAGTAACATCCTCAAACACACCTCTTTTTTCTAGGCCATCAATTAACCTCCCAATCATCCTATCAATCCTACCAATTGCTTCAGTTATCTGAGGATCATCAGGACCAACTTGGTGACCCTGATGATCAGGGTCCTCAAAGTACAATGTCATGAAAACAGGCATTTCACTACTGGGCAGATCAAAATAACTCAAGATTGTATCTACCCTATCCTCATAAGTAACAGAACCATTATAAAACTGACAATAACCCTTTGGACAAGACCAGGAACCTTTGTGTACCTCGGAGCCCGGCCAAAAGCAGGTAGCAGCCCTGAGCCCGTGGTTGGCCACTGTCTCCCACAATGGTTCACCTAGCCACCACTTAGGCTCGTGGCTTGCCATATTAAAAGTATCAACAGTGTTCGGATCCACGAATTGGTTGTTGATAATACCATGATAGGCAGGGTAAAGACCGGTGACAATGGAATAATGGTTAGGGAAAGTCAACGTTGGGAAAACTGGAATCAAACCTGTCTCGGCCTCGGTTCCATGGGTAACCAAGCGGTCGATGTTGGGCGTGGAGGTTTTGAATTGGTAACCGAATCGAAACCCATCTGACGAAATCAAGATAACAACTGGTTTGTCGAGCTTTTTGAGAGGACGGGACCTGGTTTCGAGAGAGGAGGAGCTGCGCGTTGCGGAGAAGAAGAGGAAAGCAAAGGCAGAGGCAGCAGAGAGAGCAATGCAGGAGATGAGGAGGAGAGAGATGAAGATGATAGACGTGTTTCGTTTGCTAGAAAGACTCGTTGAAGAATCGGAGTCATCGGTGTCGAAGGAGAGGAGAGCGGCTGATTGGCTTGGTGGATCTTCTTCTTGTATCGGAATTGGTGTAGGCTTTGTTGCAGAGAGTGAATCAGAACCCATGATTCCCCTGATTCTCAGGGACTTGCCTTTTTTCCGATTATTAGCCAAGGCTTTGGTGAATTTCGAGTTTGTACAGGGCAATAGGAGAACTCTTTTGGAGTGAATCCTTGAAGGTCCGGTAATTCGCTAATGGCACAGCAAGCAATTCATGATTGGGTTGGCTGTGGAAGGAGTTTGGTAGACGGCAGCTTTGCTGACTAGTCTTACTCTTTTTAAGTCACCGTTTGGTAATGAACCTATGAAACATCCAATTCAAGTTACATTGATATAGACTACGGAATTTGTGTTCACTTTAGAAAAAGAAAAAGAACAAATTAAGATTAGCAGTAACAGGAAAAAGAAGAAAAGGGGAAAAAAAAAGGAAGGAATTTCTGAAATTCTCATTATTTATTTCTAGAACTTTTTCGTGTTTTTCTCAAGGGTGAAATAATGTAAATTGAATTATGATCGATAAAATAAGTAAAAAAGTCTTTGTACTATTTAAAAAAGTTTAATTCCATCTATGCACTATTTTTCTGTTCAAATACAATCTAAATTTTCATGTTCAAATGAGTTTTTATTACTAATATTGTGTTTAATGCCATTAAATAAATAGATAATGTTCTAATTAGATATTAAATTTTAAAAATATTACTAGTAAACATTGATAACTATTTTTTTTTTTTTAAATTTGTAAGCAGTTATAAATTAAGTATAAATTTATAAATAATTAATAAAATGATATAAAACAAAATAAAATCTCAACATCCATGTTGTTTCAATACTTTTTATAAATTTTTATTTAAACATTATTATTAAATTCAGTTGACTGTTGAAAATACAATGCTGCAAAAGAGCATACTAGCTATAGTACAATAAATCACATAGTTACTATGCTAGCACGATTATAATGTTTATATAAATACATCTTTCATTACAAGAACATCTATTTAATGATGCGATGCTCGACACATTGTTAGTAATAAATATTTATTTGAACAAAACTTAGAAGTACATGTGATATTTAAACTAATAATTATTCCAGAGACTAATTTGATCTTTTTCGAATAGTATTATAATGATTTGATTTATTATTCGAATTGTGATAACATAAATAAAAAAAAAAATACAAAAGAAGAAGAAGCATTTTTTATAAAACTTGTATAAAAAGAAAATAAGGAGAAATGAAAAGTTAAACAAACTAAAATGAGATTAAACATGAAAATTCTGCCGCAACAATGTTCTTTGACAGAGAGAGTTGCCTGCTAACTTGCGCCAACTTATCATGGATGAGGTGGGTGAATTTTGTAATTAATATTTTATGGCTTTAAGTGTCGGTATGAAATTATAAACCAAAAACGAGTAAAAAATGTTGTATGCAATAAATAATTAATAATGTATTTGTCCTGCATGCATTCACCACAGTCATGCCCTCTTCCACTATATATATATATAGTTCTTAAAATAATCATATTTTGAGTAATAAACATTTAATATTGCATAATTATAGTATTAGTAATATTATGTTTAAAATTTTAATTAAGTTTACGATAATTCATAAAATTATAATATTTTTAAGACTAAAATAATGGACCTTTGGAATGGTTTAATAGTGTTTCATAATTATGGTGGAACATTGATTTGGAGGCTTCAAATAGTGGTCGGTGAGTTTTTCTTTTCAAAAAGTTGCCAAGAGTGGATAATTTGAAAACGCAGTTATTTGCATTTCATTTTCTAATCACTAAATAGTTTGAGATTTTTTTTTTTTTTATTTTCATGATTGTTACATATTTATTATCCTTGGTTTTTTGGTCTTTCTCTTATTCATTCATCCTAATGCTTGTGTCGTCATGTTCAATGTTTCAACATCAAGAAAATGCTTTTAACTACCAACTACATTCCATTCCATTGGAGTTTTCTCATTGCTTCTCAAACTACAATGGAGAATACCTCGTGCATTTGTTTCCTCATGATGTATTCTATCAGTTCTGATTTGATTTATATACATTATTTCATACCCTTTTGATTACATATTGCAGTACTTTGAACTTGAATAGGGTAAATTACTTAGTAGACGTGTGAAGGCTTTGTAAAATCTTATTGCATGCAATTTATTGGGGCAAGAATGATCGAGTGAGTCATGTTTAAAAATTGTCTTGGATGACTCATCCCTTTAAAGAGATTGTGTGATAAATGAGAGTGATTTCAATGGTTTTAAGAAAGAAATAATAGTTAATATTTATCATAATCTTAATTATTTGTAATTCATACCAATTATTTTTTTTGGCTATATGGTTTAAGACTTATACCTCTCTCTATAGACTATGTGTTATTATTAACTTTAATTATTTGTGATTAAGTGACGCTAAATTAATCAAGTGTACTTCAAAAGATTTAAAGACATAAATCCTCAATTATTTTCTTTTGAAGGCTGCATGTGTATATGTTCTTTTTATACTATACTACTCCTAATAAATAAAGAATGATATAAGCCCATTGCAGTTACACAGGCCATGTTTTATTTTTGTTATGTGATAACGAGTGTGAAGTGAGTAATTGGTTCATAGTTACAGATCCATTACATCAATTATTGTCTTCAACATGGAGTTATTTCCAGATTGTGCATCCTAAAACCACCTTAGTTATCTGCAAAACCCATATATGATAAATCACTATCAAGTCTACATATAAACAAAGAGACTAACATTTTGTTACTTTTCTTGCAATATATCATAGCTCTGATATGTATGGGCTACTGGCATGAACACAAAATTCAATAATTTTCTCTCCAGATATGTGGATTGGTAGAGGACTCTGCAAACAGATATAACAGCATTATGATATACGGAATATGTCAACGAACCTGTTTTTTTGTTCTCTAGTGAGGAGAACAAGTGCTGCAAAACCCACCGTGATTGCAGCTCGAATCACCTGAGGGAAGACAAAAGAGAGACTAGGAAACAATTACTTTACAGCAGGAAGTTGTGTGAATCAAATAAACTCCTTCTTATCTATTCAAACGACACTTGATTGAATATGAAAAATTGAGAACTGTGACCTGTCCAATTGCTCCTCTGGTGCTTTCAACATCAGCTAAACTCTCAGCGTTCCGGGATGGCTTCCCACCGTCATTTACAGTATCACGACAAACATGATTCTGAAAAAAGGGTTCAGACATGTAAAGAACCTTCTAATTTTATCATGGTCATAAAATTCCATCGATGAGGGAAAAGAATGTCCAAGCTAATCAATTCATAGTATATAGTTTCTTGACATTAATGCAAGGATCCCTTTACCATAGTATATAGTATATAATATATAGTTTCTAGTATATAGAATGTATAAACATACTTAAATGTCAAGTGGTAGACTCACATACCTCTCCAATTGTTTCTGGTGCAGAAGTTTCTTGTTGATTTATATTTGATTGAATCCACCAACTTCCCATTAGATCCATCACTCTCTTGCCACCAGCTGTTATACACAAGGGCTTCCCTTCATCTGGAAATACCCAGAGACCAGAGCTTTCAGAAGTATAATATTTACCATCCTGACATGCCCGGTGTTTCAATTTATTACTTGAAGCTCCCCGGATATGGACCTGTTTTACGTCAACTTCTTTCTGTAATACTTTGAATTTATTCTTCAAGTCAGCATCTGTTTTTGAATTTTCTGTTTTTTCTGGAGATAACTCCTTCACGTTGCTAGAGTTATGAGATGATGCAGATGTATGTGAGGGTTTATTGAGACCAATTTGTTTCCTTTTTTCTGTTGGTGTTTGCCGTAACTCCTCGGTAAGAGAAAGCTTTATTGTCTTTCCTGCAACTGATTTATCCTTACCTTTCTTCATTTCATTAATCAGAGAGCTTTTGAAAGAAGAATCCATCCCGATACTGCTTGGTTGAGGTTTCATCCACGATGATTTACTATTAGGTTTTATATCCTGTTACAGTTCGCAACTCTAACGACCTTAGACAGTAACATTTAGTGAGCTATATTTAAGCAACATATGCTTGATTTACCTGTGTTAGACTAGTTTCTAAGGCATTTATTACTTTCCTCACATTAGTAGGTGTTTTCTCTAGTGGGTTTTGCTGCTTCAACTTGTTGGCCTCTTCAGCAGCTTGCTTAGAAGGAGCTGCTTTGTCCTTCAGTAGCAAGGTAGGTTCTAATTGTCTGGACAAAGAAGATAGTTTCGACATGCTAGATGTCCCGGAAACAACAGGAGAAGCAAGCTGACTAATCTTCTCAGCTAAACCACTTTTAGTTACATCTAACGGATTCCTCTCTTTTCGATCTGTATCATTCTAAAGCAGGTGAAATGACCATTTGAGAAACTATTCATTACTTCACAAGCAAAAACGTCAGACTGCAGTGTTCGAGAAAAACTTAACTGGAATCATCTGCTTCAGAGTAGGAGGCTCGCCTTCTTTTTCTTCCATATCAAACTTTATGTTCTTGAAAAAGCTAACAGGGATTGATGCTGAACCCGTTTCTTCATTTACCATTTTGTTTTGGCTTCTTTGTGAATCTTGAGAAGATGGACCACTCATAACATCAACAAAAGAAAGCCTTTCAGAAAAGGTAAATATTATAAGAATTAAAAGAAAAACATTTCTTTCCTCGATTCTTCTCTTATCTGAATAATTAAAATCTTTCCTAAAAATTCATGGTTGAGGATGCTACCAACAGAAGTAGCATTTTCTGGATTCCGGTGACTGTTATTGACAAGCTTTTGGTGTTTCTTCTTTAATGCAGTCTCTCTCTGCACAAGAAAAATATTCATTATGCACCCAACAGAAAGAAGCAAGTTTCCCCCCTTGAGGCTGACTCAATTTACTCAGTTTCTTTCACATCTCCTCAATCACAAAATGCATTCAAAAGAATGTGATTGATTTCCATAAACTGGTTAAATGTAGTCTTGGATGGGATAAGTGATATTTTGTTAAGACATAAAGCAAATACCGGTTAAGTTTAGTTTAGGATGGTCTTTAACATTCTCGCCCCAGCCAAAGGTTAGCAAAAGTGATTACAGACAATCATGAGGATCAAAGAGGCAAAAGATACCATAATACGGATTCTATTGCGCTCTTCTTCACTGAGAACAAATTGCAACTTCATATGCACGTGCCCACCTTGTTCAAAAAGAAATATCTCATCCCAAATACCTTTCTGGACTATTAACCTGGTCTCAACATCTGCCTCATTAGATAGTCATCCTCATTAGCCTCACTACCACTAATAACTATATATGATTGACAGATATGAAGGAAAACATTATGTTAGACCTGTTTGTGACATCTCATTTCCCTCAGCATCTAGAAGTGTAATAATCAAATTATCATGGAGGGTCGTTAATGGGCTGCGCCAAAGTGTACCAAATTGTCAACTTTGGAAGCAGAATTTAGAATTTACAAGCATGAAGGAAAGGCATGGAATTGAAATTAATATAATTTGCTGAAACATTACAAGGAGAAGTCTCCCTTGTCCCCAGTTTGATATGCTTTTTTCCCCATAGAAACTGCATTATGAAACCGAAATCAGTGAATTCTGCTTCTCATATACTGTTGTTGAGCAAAATATAAAGGAGTATTGATAAACACAGAAACCTTTTATAGATGTCTCTGAAGTTGGTGATGATGACTGATCAGCTTCAAAGTGTAGAACTGAAATTAAAAAAAAAAAAAAAAAAAAAAAAAAAAAGAAATTAGATGAAATTAGTGAATGGCGAAGTACTGCTGCAAAAGTTTAAATGAGAGTTAAATGATAACTATTACTACCTGAAACTTGGATGGCTCCTGGCATTGGAGATACAGCTTTGTGCTGGAAGTTGATCAAATATAGAAGATGAAAAGACTTAGCCAGTCCGGTTTCAGTGTTAAATTTTGGATATAATGCGTCAAGAAGATGTCGATGAAATGGGATTAGATGGGAATATTCATGTGTGGTCGGAGATGAAGAAAGGTTTTAGGTCAGGTCCCACATCTTACCACTTCTTCATTACTCACTCTTGGCTCGTGGGATTTTTTGGGTTGTGAAATTTCCCTTAAATTACATTATATAAATTACTCAAAACAATTTATCCAATTAGTTTGTTCTTCTTTTATAATCGACATTGCATTATTATATATATTTTTGTTGACATATTAAATTATAATTAATGTATTTATGTTACATCTAAACTTAAAACCGAACGTAAAACTATTAATATAAAAATTAACGTTCTCCATCTCACAACACAATAAAACCTCCTCTCCAATAACTTCCGCTTTTGAGCAATAGAAAAATAGATTTCCCAAGTATGAAGAGAAGCATTAGTCATAATTTTGGAATAGATTTTGCACGGATAAACTGTTTCAAAATTGCCTTCTCTTCATCAATCCTTTTTTTTCTCTTCAGGGTTCTTGGGCTTGATTTTCCTTTTCTCTTCCAAAATCCACTTGAAAAGCTCCCTCTGTTGATCTTCAGGAATCGGCTCTTGCACTTTAACAGGCTTTGTTGCGACAATCGGGATTAGTGGTTCTTCAACGAAAGGGATAGTTGCAGTAGGAGCAAAAGGGTATTTCACTGCAGCTTTGCTTTCTTCTAGACCAGTTTTTGCATCTCCTCTGTCCTCCATGGTCATATTCTTTTTTCTAGATTTTGCGAACATATAACCTGTCGGAAGTCAAACAGAAAATCAGCTGACTCCCTTAAAAGAAAAGCCTCTGGAACAATGCAAGTATTCTCAAGTTACAGGCTACAGCTTCCAGACTTTAACAGAAACAACCAGTGCTCCAGCATGGATGACGATCTCTATGGAACGCACAATGAATAATTAAACAGAAATATATTTTTAAGTAGAAAAAGATATTTTCTTGTGAAAAATATATTTGATAACCATAACATCATGTTCTTCCATGTGAAAGACATTATCTAAAGACCTCATAACAAACAAAGATTATCTGAAATAACAGTAATTCAGAATCCAAGGATGCTTCACTGTTCCTCAGAATCAAAAAGTTATTTAAAAGCAGGAACAGGTAGTCCAAATAGGACATAGAGTTGAGCGCACCAACAATTGAAGGTTATCAAAACCAAATGCCGTCATTATGTTTCTTCTTTTTCTCTTTTTCTCCCACGAAATCAGCTTTCATCCTCTCAAAGGCTCTCCTATTTCTTCTTTCCGCACCATCCAAAATATAACAAGGGAAATGAGAACCACATGTTCCTTTCCATCACTAAGACCCTTCCACAAGCCACCGATCCCCGACAGCCAAGAGCGGCCTTCACCGCCAGCAACACCAGTATTTCAGTCAAGGCCCTCCTGTGTGCGTTGACGCGCTGGTATGCGCTGGGCATCCGCGTGCAAGCCCATTAATATGGCGTTATGAGAAAAAAATTGTACATGCTAAGAAATGATTAATAAACCATGTTTGGGGAAGATTCCCCACTGAATCATAGTGGATGGATGACCTTTTAAATGTTTGGGACTCATATAAAACATGTTTCTACATCAAACAAAGATCTAACCAAATTCAACACAAGCAAGGCAGAAATCCAACTTTTACCTTTTTCATAAATCAGTTACTAGGCACCAGCTACATAAAAGTGAAGAATGTAGTTTCCATAAATACACAAAAGGAGTGAAAAGAAAAACCTTCTTCACTCAGTCAATATATCAAACATGTTATCTACAAAAACTGCAGACATGAAAAATCCGTAAAAGTCAAGGATACGTAGAGTAATGAACCCAACATCTATAAAATGTTTACAACCAACGGGTAACATTAATCATAAAAAAAAAAAAAGCAACTGAAGCTTGAGATTCATGTATGTGCTTCATAAATGGAAAATGTAGATTTATAGCCAGAGACTGACCTCCTAGAGCGAGATTGAAGATCAAAAGAAGACGCCAGATGGGCTTGTAGCGCTTAATAAGTGATTCCTTGGAGGGTAGAGGAGGAGTTGCAGAGTGAGAGGGAGAGGGTTCCATTTTTTTAATACGAGTTATGAGTTACTGATGTTGTGTGATGTTCTCTGCGGAGAATTGAGGTAAAAATCTTTAAGGAATGAAGCTTGTTGGCTTCTTAGAAATTGATAACTTGAATAATGCAGTTGCAAGGGTACAGACTCAAGATGAAAGGAAAAAATCAAACATATTAGAATTTTGTTTACAAGCCTTTTGATTGCACATCGATCCCTTACAGATGATACGTACAATAAAGATATGGTAGAATGTTAAGAGAAAAGAAAGGAAAACTTGAGCTTTATTATTCTATAGATCATTTAATCACTAACTACACTCTAGTTATAGGTCCAAGTACTAGTTTGCCTCCAGTATCACTTTCTTGTTCAATTTGTCTCTGCACCCTCATATCTCTCTCTCTCTCTCTCTCTCTCTCTCTCTCCATTGTTGAAGAGAAGTCGACATAGGTACAACCAAATTTGAAGAGAAAAAATAGCCACCAAATTAAGCAGTAATTTTATCTTCAAATAAATTAAATTAAATCAGTTCATAAATGTATCTACTTCATATTAAACGAATAAATTTTAAATTATAATGTTTGAAACTGAAAATCCAAACAACCTAATTTATATTTTTAATTTATCATGAGCATTAAAAAAGAAGAGTAAAAAACTGCAACTTTACCTGTGTTCTGGTTTGAGGTTTGAGGAGAGAGAAGAGAATGAAGAGAGACTAACAGAGAAAGACTAATGTGAACAATTTTTGAACATGCAAGGACAAAAAGAACAAAAAAATTGTATAGGAACGAAACTGAATAAAGAAAAATAATACAATGACCAAAATGATATTTAAGTCATATATATGTACTTATACGTGTAAACACTAAACTCTTTTGGGTAAGTTTCTCATTGCTTCTAATACAAAAATTAAATTTATTAATATCAAGTCATAATGACAATCCTTTTATTGTACGTATATATGCTTAGTTTCATATTTGATCCTTCACTTCGGAAATTCTTCTTTTACTTTTCAAATCTTAACATTAATACAAAATTAACATTTTCAGCAAACATTAAATATAACTTTTTTTTTTTTTTTAGTAAAACATAACCTTCATTGTAATGAAAAAAGGCTGACAAACATATTGTTGCAGAGGGGAACAAGAAAAAAGGTCAGCTCTTAAGAGAGCCACAAACCTTTAGGTATTTATATTACATCCCTAGCTAAGATATTTGTCACCTAATTACATGATCTATAAATTCAAATAACACTAAACGAATAAAAATGTTTCAGAATATCAATTACATCATCAAGTAACAGTTCGGACTCATCACAATTTCTAATCGTCAGTTGAATGGCAGTTGAATAACCTTTGAACATCAAATCTTATTATAAGGCACTTAAACTAATTGTGGGTTTTACAGAGAAGGAATACACATCATGCTTATGATGATTAGCCTGCCTAACTAATCTCGACGCACAATACTTAAAACTAGCCCAATCATTTTCTCCGACTGAAACATCTATGTTGAGTTTGTAACAATCTTGTGGGCAATGGTATAAGAGTTGGGTGGGTGGGTCATAGGGTAGGTATAGTCAATAGATATTTTCGTGGTATGAGTCTAACTTGCTCAAATTCATGTAATTCCTTTTAGATCTTTTATAAGAGTCTGAAAGGATCAACATGAAACTTGTTATGATACTACCGGTTCCTACTCTATCATTTGTCCTAAAGAAGCATAATGAACTATACTTGTCTTGACAAGGGACCTCCATATTGTGCCAAATTCAGTCATAAAAATGATATGAGTTATTTTGCATACCACGTAATGGGAAAATGCTCCAACATGTTTTGGCATAATTGCTGCCTTTGAAAAGGTCTTCACATGAGTCTTTCGCCTCTTCCACACATAACGTCTTATATCCAAGGATTTATTTTTCTAGGCCAAACGACTTTGCCTTCATACAATATTTTGTACTTTCAAACCTACTAGAGCAAACTAAATTTTCTTCTACTTAGATGCTATATCTATTGAAGATAGCATGTTCCTTCTGCCACTATTCTAAAGTCATGTCCTATAATAGTCATTTTCCACAATATATTGACATTTTTTCGACCATCCTCACATTAATTTATCAAGTGGTAGATGAGAGCTGAAAGAGATACTTGCAATTTGATGAACTTCTTGGTGATTAAGTAGAAATATTCCATATTGCTATGTGACATGTCAAATGCTAATTAACACATGTGGGTGTCAGATACAGAAACAAGATTACGAGTGCATGATAAAATTTTATGCAGCAGAACAAATTAATACAAATTCTTTAAAAATATATATGAGTTCCAATTACATATATAAAACTAAGGTCAGAAGTGACTATAAAATACAAAGTCAAAATATAAAAGATGACTACTTCTTTCACTATACTATTAGACTCATCAAAGTGCGGGAACGATCATGCACTCAAGTTTTGTGAATCCACAGGATCCTCATAAACTTCAATAGATAGGATAGCTTGCGGTTCTTCATTTTCTTCCTCGTCTAGGGGGGAGGCATGAAAAGAATGAGTTCTATATGCTCAGTAAGAAAAAAAAATATTTAAATAATATCGTAAAGTTTTGAAAGTGAATTATTCTAACATAAATAATTACCATTTGGATACTTCGTAAACCTATCTTACATTATGAAAATAATTTATTTATTAGAGAAAACAACACGTTAATGTAATCAAACAAACACACATCATATCAGATAATAAACAAAATCAAATAGATCATGAAATGCTCATATTTTTATGTTATACTTTGTGAAATCGTTACAACTTCCATATCTGAAGGCAGATACAGATTTCAACAACCCATGTGGAATGAACAGATCATATACAGATACGACAATTTGCTCATATACATTTCTAGCTTGTAAAGTCAAGGTATGATCTATAACCATGGTCATACTGAGCATAGTGGTCTTATCATATATTATATAGTCACGATAGTATTTAGCCAAAGGTGACTCCTAATAGATATTCGCATTATCACACTCGTTAGATGGTACACCGTCATTCATAGGGAGCGGTTCTCTTACGCCATTCAGACTAGACGAGGGAGGAGGAAACAGTACCCTGGATAGGGTTAAGG